CCGCGAGGGGAGGGGGTCGGGCGGCGCCCTCCCGCGCCGGAAAGGGGGCGGGCGACGCTGCAAACCCCACTGGGTCCGGCGCCTCCCTGCACGTTCCCCACGTAGGGAGACGGCGGCGGGGCGGGAGGCTCTCTCCCCGCACGCACAGTCACGCGTGGCGTCGCCGGGCTCCGGCGGGGCCGCGACGGGTGCGGGAGAAAGCACCGTTCCGCTCCCCGCGCGCGCATGTGCCCGAGTGGGCTCGCTGAGGGTTGGAACAGCCTGCGGGTGGAGGGGGCGGTCCCCTTCCTCGGAAACTAGGGCTCGCCCTCGGTGACCGGTGGAGGGGGGACGCTGGGCCTGGATGGAGGCTTGCAGAAGTGGGCGTGGAAAGCCAGCCCGGCCTAAGCTGGCATAAGCGGGAGCGAGAGCGCGAGGCGACGTGGTCCGGCTCGGCGCTAGGGACGGAGGACCCCACCTTGGTCGTCGTGGGCAGTGCGTCACTCTCACCCCGTCCCCCCTCGCCGGGCCTGATCTGCCGGCGAATTTCTATTGCCAAAGCAAGAGTGACGTCCCACAGCGCTCGCCCCTGAGTTCCTCCGTCTTGGGGTTTTCCCGGAGGGTGATAGCCGGTTGTACCCGACTTGGGCCATTGCTACTGTCTTGTCGCCGCCGCCACCACCATTTCCCCCACCCCGCCTCCAACCCCTGCTTCCTTTTTTTCTTCAGGCTCGATGGAGTGTGCTTCCACAGATTAGGTGCCTTCTCACTTCCCCAGGAAGTTTGCTGGGCTGGGAGGAATCCCTGGAGAACTGTCCAGCCCTCAAAAGGGGGACGAGGGGCCAGCGGGGCCAGGGGCAGGACAGAGACACTGGGTGGGGGGAGATGGGGGTGAATAGTGCTGGATCCGAGGTGTTTGTACACCAGGGTAAAAGCAACCACAGGATTCTTAAATTTCACTGGGTCCTGACACCACCCGGAGCTATTCTACCTTACAAGGTGACACTTGTAATGAACTCAAAATGCAAAGAAATGGTTGCTATCCTGATTCAACGGGTACGGAAGTTGAGGCACTGGGAGCCCCCCTTGCCGCCTTTAGACAATCAAGAAGTTGTAGAGCCAGAATTAAATCTTACGTCAGTGTATTGACAAAGTCAGTGCTCATCCCTGGTGTTTGCTGCCTTCCTTGTGTGAAGCCCCCTAGCCCTAGATAAGCCACAGTCAGATGGCCGGAATCTTGCCTCTACCCCAGCCCTGGATCCTGGGGGCCCCTGTCCAGGCCTAGTACAGGTAGAGTAGAATCAAGGAGAAGCCTTAGAGGAGCGCAACTCCTGTGACCTGAGGCCAGAGCCCTCAATCCAGACACAGCCTCGTACGCCCATGCTTTATGGCTGTGGCAGCCAGAGTTGCTTCTTGGAACCTGTTTCTTCATCCATAAGGCAGAGATAATAACCCTCAGTCCACCCCATCCTCCTTGATTGCTGTGGAATACAGGAAAATAAAATACCTGCTTATTATAAACTTAACAAACAACAGGTATGAAGTATCATAAATCTGACTAGACGGGCCCTCCCTGGTAGCACAATGGGTTAAAGTGCAGCACAATGAAGCTATCGGAAGCCACTGCAGCATGAGTTTGATCCTAGCCCCGGAGGTGACCCACATGGCACACCAGACTTCTCTTGTCTCATCCACTGCTTTGCTGCTCCCCTCAGCAGTGCACTTTGTTAGTCTGCCTGTTCTGTTCCCCACTCTGTCTCTGGTGAATCCTCTCACCCACCACACCCCTGACCTGTACCCCGGTTCTTGTATGCATAAAAAAAATAAATCTTTAAAAAAAAAAAATGACTAGAAGGCCAATAAGGTTGAAGCTCCCAGGCTTCTCTCTTGCGTTCCCCCACTGTCGGCCCTGAGAGGCTCTGGCAAGCTTAAGTTTGTAATTTTAAATTAATTTCCAAAGAGGTTCCCCCAAACTGTTTAAGTTCCAAACCCCACAAAGCCAGGATATAAAATCATTATAAGCCAGGAGCAGGGAGGTTTTCCAACATTCATCACACAATCTGCATGCCCTAAATCAGACTGGGTGGATGAGAACAAGATCACCAACTGCTCTCAAGTGCCATCTGAGTCCTGCAAATGTGGATTCAACCAGGCTGGAAACTTCTGTGCATCCAGAATTGCGATTTCTGTTTGCTCTGTCTCCCACTCTTAGCATAGGACTAGCACTCAAAATGGAATGGACCCAATGCAGTGATCAGGAACAAATCCCTTCACTCTGTCATGGGCCACTAGTCCCTAGCCCCTGCCCCAATAACAACCAAGATCTTTTATCTCAGCTGGAGCCAGGAAACAGCTGAACCTCCCAATGGCCAGACTACCCTAGCAGGGAGGTCACAGAGGCTTCCCTGGTCTTTGAGAGAGAAACTGCTTCTCAAGGGAGCTCACAGCTCTCCACCTCTTGAAGGCTGCCAGGCTCTAAGGCCCATCAATATTTCTGGAGAATAGCTCTAGGCCTGCCACATTACCTCTTCCCAATCCCCAGGCCTCACCATCTCCTGCCATAAATATTAGAGAAGACTTCTAGCTGCACTCCCCGGTTCCTGGCCTCCCGCCATGCAAGTCATTGTAAGGCCCAGACAAATATTCCCACTAAAAGGCAGCTAATCACATCATAATCCTCGATGGCCCCCACCTTGCTGGTGGAAGCATTTAAACATCTCTGCCTGGTGTCCAAGCCTTCTAGAGTTGACTCCGTATTTCCGCACCTATCTTTCCTTCTCCCCTTGGTCATGTCCCTCTGCCCCCATCGAGAGCTTTCAGTCTGAGCCCCTTTTCATTTCTCCCTCCTCATTCTGTCTCCTCCACTCACCTGCACCTAACCAAGCGTCCCGCTTCCCTGCGCCAACCTCCCCATAAAAGCTTTGCGGCTACTCACCACAGTCTCCCAGGCCTCAGCACCTCCAAAGAGCAAGCTCAGGCTGTGCTCAGAGTCCATCTAGCACTAGAACAAGACTCTTCTTTACAAATGAGGAACCTGAGAAGCAGCAGGTGGGCCATCTTGCCCAGTAGCAGTTTGTGGTAGTGTTTGGAGCTGGGACTCAAACCCAGTTCTGATGCCCAGCGGGCGCTCTGTCCATCCTTCCCTACCACCTCACGGCAGCTGGGCTTCAGATAAGTAAGACTGAGTCATGACAGTGGGCCTGATATTGTTCCTGGCTTCTGGGGGGGGCAACCTTATCTGCCGCGATCAGACAGTTTCCTGACGCCAGAACCTATGCTGCACAGCCCCGAATGGCTCAGAGCCAGTCCTGTGCCCATCTATCATGCCAGTCTCAGCTCCTGCATTTTTTATTCTGCCTCTTTTTTTTGTCATTAAATAGCTCCTAGGCCCCAGCTAAGCCCTCCTGCTGATTACACCATAGGCCCCAGGAAGAGCAGCGAAGATCCTCACGGCAGAAAGCCTAGTTCCACAGGTGTCCTTCTCTCACTCTCCAGCTGGCCTGAAGTCCCTGGGTTCCTTCTGTTCATTTAGTGTTGTTCTTTCTTGTACAAGTTGGGAGGGTGAGTGTCAGATAGCCCGGGGCTGCCGCTGCACAAATCACGCTTGCTGGTGAGAATGCAGACTGCAGCTAAGTCATAACGTAACCTTCAGTAGGCCCCTGCACAAGGAATGTCACTCCAGAGCTTTCTGTCTAGTGGATCAAAACTGGTCTCCACACCAAGGAACACACTTGTGCCAACGGTGGTTTGTTTTTTGTTTTTTTGTTTTTTTGATGTTGACAGCTTATAGGGGCATTTCACATTTATTGCCTCATTTCTCCTGATAACAGGCTGATGAGATTAGGAGAGCAAATATCATTATCCCCACTTAATCAGTAAATGAGAATGAAGGCAGTCATAGAGTTTGCTTATGGTCTCAGTGATAAAGTGAAGTGAAAAAAGAAAAATGAGGATCAGGACCCAAACGACTTTGTCACTTGGAAATCCGGACACAGTGAGGGGCCAGGAGGAGGGTGCTGCAAATTCTGAAAAGTAGTGCAGAGAAGGGACCCGTCCCCGAATCCAGTGATGATATTAGATCTGTGCTTTTCAACTAGGCTGCATAAAAAAATCACCTGAAGAACTTTTAGGAATGCTGATGCCCAGGCCTTAGCCCCAGCAATGATGGCTTAGTGAATCCAGTGTAGTCTAAACAGCTCCTTTTAAAAATCCCCCAGGTGAGTCTTAGGTACTGCCAGGAATGAGAAACAAACCGATTTAAACCCTAGATTTCCACAGGAACATCTCGGGGGAAATTTCCAAAATGAGTCGGCCAGTAATATTTTTAGCAGGTGAAAATATATATATTTTTAGCAGATGCTGAGGGTGGTCCCTCCAGGATCTCAGTGGCCCTACCCACCCAGAGCACAGTGACAGAAAAGTTCATGTCTCGGCAGCTTTGCACAGTTCTGCTTCCTGCATGAGAAGGCTGGGAGAAGGGAGAAGGCACCACTGGCAGTGCCAGAAGGAGTGGCTGGATGGTAAAATCATCTTTTCAACCTGCCTTCTTTCAAGTTCTACCTCCAAAGCATAATAAAAGAGACTATAAACCAGCAACCACCAGTCCGAAACATGGCCTGCAGTCTGTCTTCCTTAGTCCAACTAATGTTTTCTAAATGTGAGCCAATGCTTAAGAATTAGATTTCCCTGCAAAAACCCAGGTTCCAGCTCGCATGATGAGGCAAAAACCCATTAGAACTGAGAGAGCAGGGACACTCCAATCTCACTGAGCCGCACCCACACACCCACCTCTGCGCGTGCCACAGGCCTTTAAATGTTC